AACTTCACACTGCTGTCGGTAGGTGATTATCAGCAACCAAGCTTGGTTATTCAGATATCTTTACATAATTTTAAACAGTTAGAGCTTTACTATCTGTAGGAAAGAAAAAGGAAGCAGAAATGGAAAGCAGTTATATTGTCAATTAATTAATCTTCTACCCAAATCTGTGAAACCTCTTATAACTTAATTAGCTTTATCATGATCACACAAGATTTCAGCTCTTTGCTGACACTCCAATTTTGCCTGTTTTCTTATAAGCTAAACACCAGGCTATAATAACATCATGCAAGACATGTTGTGTATCCATTAATCATTTTTTATTTTCTTTATTGGATCTGATCCCTATATGAGAGAAAATACTGAGTTATGTAAGAGTACCATAAGGAATTAAGAGTAAGTGAACATTCAAAAGAAATAATAATAATAATAATACCTTTATCTTTTAACTGGCTATATTTTCTCATTGTCTTTGATTTCTCCAAGAATTTTATAAAAGTATAGACCATAACTGTGCTAATAAAGAGGAAATTATACCAACCTATAATTAGAGTAATAAGGAAAAAGGTACAGCGGATCATAATTGAACCAATAAGAGGAAAATATAATCATGTTTAATGGCTTATATGAGTGTTAGAGTCTTCTGTATACTTAATAAATTGGTATCCATTTTCATGGCATGTATCTAAGACACCTTTCCTAATATTATCAAATTACCTTTCAGATCTATTGTTGGGAACTTCTGCTACTCCTGGAAGCTCCTCTGGCATGAGGCTTCTTAGAATAACCAAAACAGCAGTTTCAGATGGGTCTGACCACCAGCTACAGTCACCTGTAGCAACACTTAAGCTTTCTCCAGGTTTATTTAGGGTGTCCCTGTTTTACATTCATGGGTATACCCAGATGGTGTGTGCAGTAACAAGTGTAAGATTTGCAAAAGAAATACAGGAAGAGGAGAAAGGTGTAAGCTTTTGGGGTCACTGATTTGGGCATGGAAAGATGCTCTGCAAGCAGGGTATACTCAAAAGTAAAGGCAATGATTTATTTTGTAATATGCACAGCAGAATAACATGAAAGCAAGCACCGAAGCTGAGCATCAGTAGTTCCTTGCTGCTGCTGAGCGCCCGTCTTCTGTCTTTTTTAAGATTTCACAGCTTGCAGCTTTGGTGTTTTTCCCTCCGAGTCCTTGAGCTGCTAACTGTCCCCATCTCGGCAATCTTACCCCTGTCTGCAGTTTCACCTTTCGTATCTTGTACAGCTTGAGTTTACTTGTTTTCCTCACCGCTTTTTCTCACAAAGTAGCAGTTTTCTCAGCAGTTCGAGCCAAGGTCACACAGATGCTCAGCATGAAAACTCAGCCGGGATCAGAGATGGCCAAGCCCCGCCAAGGGAGCTTACCAAGGCTGGAGTTTGAACAAAACCTCCCCACATTTTCATACAAATGACATTTCATGCAGTTTAGCTGTAATTCACATTTCGATTTTCCTCTCAGCAATTAAAAAATATGAGTATTTCCTACTTTTGCACGCTATTAGCATGTAAATATTTCCTCAAACATGCGCATACTTCACATGTGGTACCCTTTACTTTGAAGTGATATTTGCAAAGCTTTTCAGCCCAGTTATCCTTACAGGAGCCCAGGTGCTCTTTCTGAGGCTGTAGATCTCTTGGAAGGGCAAGATTAAATCTGGCGAATGGGACTCTTCACCTGCAAATAGACCTTGAAAACTCAGAGGACCCCTTGGGACAGAGGCAGGTGTTTTCCACTAGAAATATCAGAGATACATCTTTTTCCAAACAGTTTTGTTGCCCATCAATTTCTCAGCTCTATTAGGTAAGTCCTGAAGATAACCCAGAATGTACATAATTTAGGCTATTCATAAGTGTAAACATCTGCGTGTTCTTAGGTAATACCCCGGAGGGCAGTTTAATAATGAACTAAATCATATAAAAAGTGTTTGATATTTCTATAATACATATTGTTTAAATACTCTAAGCTTCTTAGACTACTAAATGTCAATCTTTCCTAGAGCTGGCCTTTGCTTTCATTTCTTAAGAGACTTGGACATCTGTCCTATCAAAATTCCTATGTCAGTGTGAGTTCTATTTCATATGTACGCATTAAATGATGAAAAGGCACTTTTATTTTTGGTGGTAATTTTTAAGAACCTTGCTGCAAATAAAAATTTGCACGACATCAAAAAAACCCAGTATGATAGATAGGTAGATAGGTGGATAGAGATATTTAGAAGTACCAGTATATGTACATATGTATATATATGTACATTAAGTGTTCAAAAAACGGGTAGATGTGGCACTTCGGGACATGGTTTAGTCTAGTCTACCCTTGATTGGTTTAGAGTAGACTTGGTAGTGTAGGTTAATGGTTGGACTGGATGATCTTAAAGGTCTCTTCCAACCTAAATGATTCTATGATTCTATGATTCTCTCTCTCTATATATATATATGTATTTATAACAACTCTTATACACACACACACACACACACATATATAGTGTTCTATCTGCTACTTTGTACCTCCTTTCCTTTCAAGCTCCCAAAGGAAAACTGAGAAAATGACCACTCTACACAGAATTACTGAAGGCATTAAGTGTATTTAATCTCTAATTTTCACACAGGTATTTTTAGTAAGCTAAGTAATAACTAAAATAAGTGTTTCCTCTCACAGCACACAGTTGTGAAACTTTAATTTATATGTTAATTTTTTAATTAAAGGAAAAAATTATAGAAGAGGGCTGTTTTCTTAAAAAGTACAGCATAATAGTCTTAACATTAGACTAAAGTATAATAGTCAAGAAGTATAACAGTATAAACAGTCTGTCCTAATGCCCCCCTTCCCTAAAGACATCCAGGTAACCCCAAGGCTGAACTCTGTGTTTCCTACCACTTGAGAAACAGCCTGAGACAGTTGATTCACTTATCCCAGGGTCACCTTGTCAGAGTCCATAGAAATGCTCCACATCTTGCGTTTAGCAACTGTGCCTGCCTCAGAGCAGGAGGCTGTTTCAGGTGCCTTGGGCACTGTAAAGAGAGCAGAGAGGGGCGAGGAGAGGGGAAGGGAGCGGTGGTGACAGCAGATGTAGGAAAACATGGCCAATGCTGGAAAACAGATGAAGCCAGAAAGAGCTTTTGTAGTGTTTTGAGTCTCCTGCTGTTTCTCTACTGCTGAAGGCAGCGATGAGGGTTGAGAATACAATGGTTTGTCATAAGCATCAGAAATACTTTATTTAAAAGTGCCCTCTAACAAGATTCGGGGCTTATGATTCATTTCTCTGATGTCACGGAAATGAAGAAAATGTGTGTCACCTGGCTATGTTTCCAAATGGGTTGAAGAAACATTAGAGAAAGTCAGCAAATGCGCACATCAGAGAACACTCAAAGCTGCCTTAATTTAAAGAGCACAACTTAGTGTTTCCTGCGGGAAACTGCACTTGGAAAGTTTTGATCAGCAAGAGTTGCCACTAGAGTTGACTCTGATTTAATCCTGTTTTGTTATTAAATGTTTCTAGTTACATTACCGAGATAACAATCTCAGCTAAGAATTCTGAATTCCCAACTAGCAACTATATTGGCCACTTCCATGCTAAAAGCTTAGGGATTCATAACCTGGTTTAGGTTTAGACTGGGACATACTCTCTCCAACGGACAGGTCCCTGCAATGTACCTCTCAAAACTCCGATCCTAAAGGTAGACTGTAAAATTACTGGGAGAACTAAATGACCATGCTTTCTTGAGCTTTTTGCTATTAAAACACTATTTCACATGCTAGCTTTTAAAAATCATTTGTAGTTTCCATGTTATGGTCTATAAACTTCATACTTTTTATTTCTGCTTTATTCCTGTTCTATGCATTGCCAAATATTGCTTTTGTGTAATTGAAACAGAGCTGTAGTTTGATTATTAAACAGAGGGAAAGTAATTGTCTTCAGCTCTAATGGGGGAAGCAAAGGCTCTTGGTAAAAGAAAAACTTAAATTGTGGAAACTTTGCGAGTGACGAGATGCTGCTGGGGCCAGCAGCCCCCCACCAAAGTGGTTTCATGGGATGTGGGTTGGAGAACACATTTTGTAACGGGAGGGTATGCAATTTATTTATCTTCTCCACTCCTTTTCTCTATTCTGCCTTCATTTATACCTCAAAACATTTGCAATTTGAATAGGCTGTCGGCAAACATCCCTATAGCACACAGCAAAGAAAGGCTCCCAGCTGGGGGACTGCAGGTGCAGATTTACTGCTGACCAGCACTGTGGACCCCTGTGTCATGGGACCTGTGCCCAGCTGTGCCGCAGCCCTGACAGCTCTGACCTGCGGTTTAGACTGGCTTTGCACCTGCAGTGCTGAATTCTGGTGGAAACAATACTTAAGAGGTTCAAGGAAAAGAGGGATGTTTGATATACTAAGCAGCAGGGGTGATTTCCTATTTGAAGCCTAAGAAGAGAGAGAAAACAGCACGTGACACCATCTGGGTACCATTTTTAACCCTAATATCAGAAGAGGACAACGCAGATTTCTGCAGTAGCCCACAGATGGCCATGAGTCAAGTAATACAACGGATGCTTGCCAGTTGTTGACATGTCTGTGCAGAGGACACTCTTTTTCTATCTGCCGCAGTTGCTCAAACCCCCAAATAACTACTTATTTTACAGTGAAAAGTTTGAGGTACTTTAAAATTGTGCTAATCTTGAGCTGTACAACAGCAAAAAAGTATAGGGGAGATCGGTGCTCTAAGCAAGACGAAGGCAAGAGAGGCAGGATTTTATTATAATCCTGTTCCTCTTTCTAGATTATAAAATTGTTGCCCTGTGCTAGGAACAAATCGCTGCATCTTCCCTTTCCTGTAGAGGCTCATGCCTGATTTTCTCCAAAATGGGTTTCTCTCTGCAGCATTTCTACAGCGATACCATTAGCCTTTGAGCAGATGTCCGAGAGTAAGGAACGGCTGCCTGCAGATCAAGTTGCTGCTGCCAACTCTCGCGAGCTTTGTGTCAGAACCAGTTGATTATAATGTCAGCACTGTCCAATTCACGGGCTTAAAGCCGCAGCTGCATACTGCGTTTTCCCTGAAGTATTCAAAGATCCTGACTCTTAAAAACTTTGTAGTTCTTGTAATAGAAGTGGGGTAAGTGATTCTCTATTTACACGTCTCTGTCTGCCAGGATAATTTACAGTTCAGCTTGATTTGCATGGGGATTGGGATCTTTTAAAATGTTACGCCGTGCCCATTTGTTGCTCTCTTGGGAAAACTCACTCTGCTCTGCAAATGGAACGAGTAAGCAGGCGTGTGTATCGGACCTTGGTATTATTCAAGGGATCCTGGGCTAAGTAAATGAAGCTGAGCTAGAAATCACTTATTAATTCAACCATCTTTTCTATTTAAATAGTGATTATATAGTCGTGTGTATAGATTTTTTGGCTGGGTGAAGATTTGCAAGGAGAGGAAACAGTTATTGAAATAAATTGTATTCCCTTGCTGAATAAGAATACAAAAGTACAGTCTGTTTAACTTTTGCTAGAGGAAACGACTACAGAAGCAGCTTTTTAAAGTATGCATATACATTATGTGATATATCTCTGCTCGGTTAAGATTGATGAGCTAAAGCTCATCATCTGATCCTTTTACTCTCATAGCAATAATCAAGTAATGTTTGTTTTGCTCAGTGTGCTTTGCGTTGTGTTTGTTTTAATGCAGCATTAAAAACCTTATTAAAAGTAATATTTGCCGTACGTTCAAGGTATAATAATCATCCTCTGTCACTTGCTACTTCTGTTAATATTAGCAGAGTAACTTGAGACTAGACAAGTCCTCTCATTCAGTAGTACAAAACTTCTGTTTTTCAAGCTTGATCTATTGCAAACTTCTGCTTTAAAATGCCACCTGTTCTTTTGCAGAGCTCATTAAAAAGGTACAGAACTGAATTTTTTGTTAGGTTTTTTTCTTCACAAAATTCTTGTCTAAAACTTCTTAGGGTCAAAAGTTATGCCTCTGTGTTTTGCAATGCTAGACTGTTTTCCTCCCATCCCGTTCCTTTTTAATTAACAGGAAAGTGCAGAGGGGAATTAATTTTAATTACTATTTAGACATTAAAAGCTTTAGGAACTTCAGCGTCTCTTGCTTTTCTTAGTGTAATTTCCTCTTCTTCATAATGAAGACGTTTGAAATCTCTTATTATTTCCAGCTTGTTGTTGTGGTTTGGTCCTGGGTGGTATCTTAGAAGTGAGTATGTGAAAAAAGACAGTGTCAGTGAGACAACAGACTTACAGAAATTCCTTTTCCCATTTCACAGTGCTGTGCATTGGGTGCCCCCATACCCAACTAGAGCCCTACTATTAACATTTCTCACAGCCACCCCAGTTGCCTTGGCTGACTGTGAGGTAGGGCGAAAGAGTTTAGCCCTAAGCTAATATTTACATACCTTTTCTCACCCAGCTCTTAAAAGATTTTATTATAGGAATGAATGGGAAAAAAAATGACTGGCACAGAGGGAGGGGGGCTAAATGCCACTAAATGATGTGAGCCTCCTGTGCGGGTCCTGCTGGCTGCCGGAGCGAGCCTCTGCTTACCCAAACTCCTCGGGTGTTGCTGGACCACGTGTGACATCCAGATTGACTGCTCACATCTCTGAAGTTGAGCATACCTGGAGCCATTTGCAGGTGTCTATAAGTCAAGCTGAAGGCTGGGTGGAGTGTTAGACCAACTCTGAAGTCTCCTGCTCCCATTGACCACCTTATCTTTTTTTTTTTTTTTAATAAAAAGACGAGCGTAAATGTTTATGTTTTCTAGAATTTATCTACTTTCTATCTGTTTAGATGAATGCTAAAAATATTGTCTCTGAAGATTCTTCCCTGCTCCTTTTGATGTCCTCTCAAAGCTAGGAACCTCTGTGCAAAATCTTCCTTCTCCCCTCCCCTGCATTTTCTTAAGTTGATTTCCAAGAACACGCAAACGAGCAGGAGGAGCTCAGATTAGGCCACAGCTGTACTTTCCACAGAAATTAGCCTCATTCCTTTTAAGGACACAAGTGCTCCTCATTAACAAAGAATGGCCTGTTTAAAGTGGCAGGACAGAGTACACTATGTACGACAGGGCGACAAGCAAAAAATAGAAGGAAGCTTTGCTGAGCATTTTCAAATATGTAAGCCATAGAAATGGGTTTATGCAAATAGTCTTTTTCTGACTTTTCACTTTCAAGGGGAAGATACTGGGGTTTTTATAGCATTTGAAAACGTTGGGGTAAATAGGACTATTAGTATGCTTAAATGTGGTACATAATCAGCATCTATATCCTCAGCTTTAAGATAATATTATTTATCACTTCGAAAAATTCTCAGGAAGCAAAGACAAGGCCATACTTAAATTATTAGGTACCACCTACACATATTAAAAAAATCCTTGGCTTTTTAGCATTTTAAGGTTCATTCTAAGTAGTAGAACTATGACTACGTGTCATGACTATGATGGTTTCAAACTTGCTTAAGTTGCTTTAGAGAAAAAAGATCTTGAAAGAAATGTTTCATTTAGGTCTTGGCGTACCTCTGTATGCAGTAACCCACAGGAGCTGATGAATGGACAGTTCAGAGCACTTTATGTACATCACTTGTTAAAACACCTTCAGATCCTAGGACATAAGAGTAGGACAGTGAAATCACCCAGTGCTTTGAGTTTCTAGCAATGCCATCTCAATGGTTTGCTTCAGCCCAGGCATCTACAGTGACACAAGCATCTAGTTCAAAACTTATGTGGACCTGGAAATCCTTGGATTAAAACTTGGCTTCAAGCTCCTTTTCAGTGTTCACGTGTGGAAAAATCTGTGCCTGGTGATGTTTGTTATCGCTCTTTGTTGATTTGAAAATACAAATTGCCAAAGTAATGTCTAACAGAATAATGGCTGGTTGGGGATGGCATTTTCCATCACAGACCATAACATGTCCTGTTCATCATGCCAGTGGAAATGCAAGTGGTTAAGTCATCTGCTAACTGAAGTAGTCAGAGTCTGCTTATATGACTTTACCTTCCCTGGTATGGCTTCTTCAGTCCTATGCTTTTTTAGCGACAGTTTTTTCTGAAGCACTGGACCAAATACTAAACACGGTCTTTGCAGCACAACTCACTAACAAGAACTTACGGTTAAAGACTGCTGAGCTTTGTGCAGCGGCACCATCTTATTTTCAATCCTCTTGGGATGACCTACACCCTTTTTGAATAAATTGTTTTGGCTCTGCTACTGATACACTGCAATACTAATTCTGAATTTCTTTTTTCCTGTGTTTCAGGCATCATGATTTGGACAAATGGTACAAGTCTCTATACCAGATTTCTTATGTGGCTTCTTCTCCTGTATATGTTAATCAGGAAAGTAATGCCTGAAGATAACATCATTACAACCAAGAAAGGCAGAGTCAGAGGCATGAACTTGCAGGTACTAGGGGGAACAGTGACAGCCTTTCTTGGAATACCTTATGGACAGCCACCCATTGGTAGACTGAGATTTCAAAAACCAGAACCTCGTGAGAAGTGGTCGGATGTTTGGGATGCCACAAAACATGCAAACTCTTGTTACCAGCTTATAGATACAACTTACCCAGGATTTCCTGGATCAGAGATGTGGAATCCGAAGACTAACCTAAGTGAAGACTGCTTATACCTTAATGTATGGATTCCTTCTCCCAAACCCAAGAACGCAACTGTCATGGTGTGGATATATGGTGGTGGCTTTGAGAGTGGGTCGACTTCCCTACCGGTCTATGATGGCAAGTTTCTGGCCAGGGTAGAAAGAGTCATTGTAGTTTCTATGAACTACAGGACTGGTGCATTAGGATTTTTGGCTTTGCCAGGAAACCAGGAAGCTCCTGGAAATGCAGGTTTATTTGATCAAAGATTGGCACTTCAGTGGGTCCAGGAGAACATCGCAGCGTTTGGAGGCAATCCAAAAAGTGTGACTATATTTGGAGAGAGCGCTGGCTCGGCTTCTGTCAGCTACCATATCCTTTCTCCTAAAAGCCATCCTTTATTCACAAGAGCCATCATGCAGAGCGGATCTGCAAATGCCCCTTGGGCTGCAATAACAGCATCTGAAGCCAGAAACAGAACAGTGACTTTAGCTAAACAACTCCAGTGTCCCACCAGCAATGAGACAGAGCTAATTCTCTGCCTCCAAGACAAGCACCCGAAGGATATACTGGAGAATGAAATTTCCATTGTAACATATGACCCTCTTTTGCAAGTATATTTTTGTCCAACTGTGGATGGTGATTTTCTCTCAGACATGCCAGAAATGTTGATTGAGAATGGCCTTTTCAAACAAACACAGATCTTAGTTGGTGTTAATAAAGACGAAGGATCAGCATTTCTAGCATATGGAGTCCCTGGCTTCAGCAAGGATAGTGATGGCTTGATCAATAAAACACAATTTGAAGCAGCTTTAACTCTGTCCTTCCCAGAAGCGAGCCAACTTGCCATAGAATCCATCATTTTTCAGTACACAGATTGGGAAAATGAGCAAAAGCCAGAGCATTACCGTGATGCCATGGATGATGTTATTGGTGACTACAATATAATATGTCCTGCAGTGGAATTCACGAAAAAATTTGCACAACAAGGACACAACGTGTTCTTTTATTTCTTTGAACATCGATCCTCAAAGCTCCCTTGGCCAGAGTGGATGGGAGTAATGCATGGTTATGAGATCGAGTTTGTGTTTGGATTGCCCCTAGAAAGAAGAGTGAACTACACCAAAGCTGAAGAAATCTTAAGTCGGTCCATGTTGAGATACTGGGCAACTTTTGCGAAAACTGGGTAAGTTTACTGTTGATTGGTCAGATGCTTCTTGTTTCACAGGCGGAAAAAGCTTAACTGTTTCAGTGGTGATTTGAAACCTGATGAGATTGATGAGAAAGGACTAGTGGTTTGGCTATCCAGAATTCCCGTTTTAGTTCTGATAAAAACACCGTCTTAGTGAAACAAACTCTTGATGCATAGCTCATTGTATTGGATGATCTTAAGAAAACAATGTGTATTCACCCATAAATGCGAATACTAAACATTTTTTTTTTTGCCATGGCAGCAGTTGTTACGAAGGAAGGCAGTGGTTTCAGGTTTTAGAAACAAAATATTTCAAATTCTGGGAAAGGCTTCCAACAGCAGAAGTAGGAGCAAAAGGCCCAGTTTCCTTTAAGATGTAATTTGCTCAGAACATTCAGGTGTATAATATGGAGGTATATTATGTTCACGTGATGAAGTGATTGGGATTGCAGGATGTTCTTTTCAGAAAGCCTATCTTCCCATGTGTACTGTAAGTATAATCCTGCATTTCACAGAAGCCGATGACAAATCGCTTGCTATTTCCATTAGACTCATCTTTAAGTGAAATATATCCTAGCCTGTATAAGCAAATAAGCATATTTCATTTGGATGTTTGAAATGGATTAAATACAACCCCTCATTCAGTCTGTTTAGCTGGTATCCAAGAGAAGTGAGACAGCCCTTGCTCTGCTTGGCAGGGTTGTGGGGCTCTCAATGCAATATTCAGTTTGAAATCAAAACATTTCAGTGCGGTAAGAAAAACAGCCACTACTACAGTCATGGACGATTAGTCTCAAGGCTGCAAGCCTGATGGGGTGGAGAGGTATCTTGTCTTCTCAGAAGCTTGGTTTGTGCTCTCCCCTGAGAAAATTATATATACAAAAATCTGTACCTGTGAGAATATACAACCAAACACTTAATTCGCACTTTAAAAATGTTTAATTAACTTAAATTTTAAAATCCTGCATTCCTTTTGCTTCCATGATAGACTTTTCCTTTGATTTGTGAAGGATGCCTAGGTTTGTAAAGGCTGAAATCAACTTTCGAACAGGATCTAATTATTTTTCTTAATAGATTAGAAATCAGAGGAGAGCACTGTGCTCATTTAGTCCATATAACCTAGTACATAACACAAAACACAGGTAGGACTTAAACATTTCCAGTGATGAAAAATCCAGAACAAATATTGGTAGGTTGTTCTAAAGCTTAATTCCACTTAAAGTGGTTACAGTTATAAAAAGAAGTTTTGTGTGTGGTCTGAATTTGCCTACTCTATGTTTTCCAGGCGCTAGATTTTGTTTGACAATTTCTAAGTTTTATATTACGATTTGTGTTTCATATAGAGATAATTCTAGGCTCCAGCAAATAACCCTTAATCTTTTTTTTTTTTTTTTTTGTTAAATAAACCAAGTTCTACTCTTGAGGCTTTCACTATAATGCATTTTTTCAAGTCCTTAAATAATAACTATGCATCTTCTCTAAAACTGTGATTCATCAACACCTTGCTGGAACTTTCCGTGTTGGAATTAAACACCGTCGTCCCCAAAGAGTCCTAATTACAGGTGTCATCCGTCCCCTCTAGCTCAACCTGATATTCCCCTGTTTACTCACCCAAGGAAAGTACTCTTTGCCTTGACTGTGGTGGTGCACGAGGAGCTGCTGTGTGCCCGCCTGTGATCTGCCCCGATCCCACCGTCCCCCCTTTTTTGGCTCTGAAAGACGCTGCACTCAGTGGCTGGCACCAGCCCGGCTGCTGCCCGAGCCCTACGTAGCCCCTTCACGCTACGCTCCCAGGTGAACGAACAGCTTTTTTTTATATGCATCCTTTTTTTTAAACAGATTTCCTTACCAATAGATGTGATTGATTGTTTGCCTTGATATGCAGAAATATTAATTACAAGTTCTATCCCCTTTACCTGCTGAGGCCTGTAATAGTTTTTTTTACCGTAGGTAAAGAGCATATTAAAACGCAGAAAATGACTATACAGATGGCTATACTCATCAATGCATAATGTTTTAATACAGGTTTTATTCTTGTAAAATTTAATCTAAAATTTAATCTATGAGCTCTGCCTGCTTCCCTCTTTACTCAGAGCCTGATGACACCACTCCATATGAATTTGGTGTGGAAGCCTGTAGCACGGAGAAAAGCGCTCAGCAGGGGTGTGTGTTCTGGAATTGAGCTGTGCGGTTGATTTATCGATGCCAAAAATGCATCTGATAGATTTCCAGGATGAAGTCTGCACAATGAGGTCAGGTAAAGCTCGGTAGCAATTCCTGCATCGCGAAGACATGCTATGACAACATTGCTTTGAAACGGGTATCGGTAGGCCCTTAGCGGAGAGCAAACTGAGTGGAGGCTCCTCATTACATACCGCAGCTTTACAACCTGCCCTACAGGAGTTTGCAATCAGGATCTTGCACCAGAAATAACAGATCTTTCTATTAAACAGTTTTTTAGATTAGATTTTGCAGAATAATATTTACATTTTTGTGAACTATTGGTTTCCACTGGATTACGTATATATTAAAAATATGTATTGTGTATATTTTAGGTCTATATAGGTATATAAAAATATATAGTGTACGTGATATAAAAATATATTTGCATATAACCCACAAATTTATATATTTCTCTATAAAGATATTATTTAAAATATAAACAGATATAAAATATATTAGATATTTTTCTCTATGTAAACATAGGTACATAGATAAAATCTCAGTTACCTGCTGTGCAAAATAGAGTATACTGTACCTGTCACTGTAGCGAGCTAAAATTAGAAAACATGAGGTACATTTGGGTTTAAGTTTATAGGAGACAGTCCCATCATCTAGTCTGATTATTATTCACACTACAATTAGATTAGCCTACAGATCAAATTCCAAGTAGTTTCCACAGCAAACAGCAAATAATCCCTCCCTCTGCTTCCACAAGTATCAAAAGCGTCGCTATTAGGGTAGACAATACAATCACGCAATTTATGTACCAGCAAAAGATCAGCTCAGTATTAACCCATTATGAGACACTTTCCTCATCATCCAGAACACAGACCCCTTAGGCTCTGTAACACATTATTCATAGTCTATAATGACTGGGGAAATAATCAAAATTGTTAATAATTCCAAAAGTAATAGCTGATCCTTGTTTTCCTGGCACCTTTGAGCACACGGGAAACATTTGTAAAGAAGTGGGGAAGCCCCATTTGGCATAATGTTTGCAGTAAACTCTGGCATGATCAAAGGGCAAACATTTGAGGGGAAGATTGCTTTACCATTGATGACTCCAGTAGGTGAGGAGAAAATCAAGCAAAAGATGAAAATCAGAAGCATAGTACAGCACAATTTTTAGTGAGGGCGTTTGACCTAATATTCTAATGTGCAGAAGTACAAAAGCACAAGGGAGGGAAGAGCAGCCTGCAGAGGAAAGCAGATAAGGTAGAGCCAACAAAAGCTGAAAGAAATGGGGTTTCCCCTGGTACTTTCTGGCTGGGAGGGGCTGAGAGCTGGCTCAACTCACCACATGCAGAGCTGTTTCTCACAAGAGATCTTCAAGCCAGACTTTGACCCTAATGATCTCTGGTTTCCCTTCCCACGTGAGCACTAGGAATAAAAATGGTGATATGAAATGTTGAAGGTATACCCCGTAGGAGCATTTTCTGTTTCTTTAGAAATACCTAACGTCACGTGAGAACAAAAGAAAAGATGTTAGGGAGAAAAAGAGAAGTGACTCCTTCAAAGGATCCCCAAAGTGTATGTGAAATTCTGGATTTCTACATTTCTCAGTAAACAAAAGGAGACTGTCAGCCAGCCCTAGGATTTCCAACTCGACCACCACCCCCCTTAGTAGCTGATGCAATTTTCCAAGTCTCTAGGCACTTCTTACTTCACATCCTTGCTAAAAATAAAAATCAGCAATAACTGGCCATTGTTGCTGGAAAATCAACAGGGATGAAAATATATATTTTTTTAATATGACTGAGGAATGGGTAATGTAGATGATTCAGTAGGAGATGGGAAGAGACATTTCGCCTCTGAGGCTTGAAGTTAGATGCTGGTGTTATACACCGATATCTCTCTTCGGTACCCAAGGGAACAGTGTCATTTTTAGGAATCTGCCATATATTTACTTGGTCTGTAACATCTGTGAAGACCCTGCTGGAATAGTTGTCTTTGACAATAAACCACATCTTTTCAGTCATGAGATTCCCTGCAGATTCATTATCCAGAACAGGATTTGGTGACTTGGGAACCCCTGGGAACTATGGATACCATAACTACCTCTGTTACTGCACATAGGGACAGGCTGCTCATCACTGTCTGCAGGATTTACCCATATAAATAATGTTACTTCATATCACATAGTCTGAGGAGAATGAAAAGAAAAAAAAAAATCAAATTACCTCATGGGTCTGACTGTTCAAGCAGTTAACATGGAGTAGCTTGAAAGGATGGACTGGAAGGCCCATAAGATTCCTGGTAGTGATGTTTAGGATCAGCCTTTTGGATTATTTCTAGCTAATGCTAACCCTGATGCTTATAGATAGAGCACAGGACACAGGTAAGCACCCTCCATGGAGCTGTGGCTAAGCAGGCTGGCAATGTGGGTCACTTACCCTCCAGTTATACACTTGCAGCATCTCTTGTCCTCAGAAATATGTTTACAATTACAAAAAGTAACTATTACTAAACTGACAATAAAGTCCTGGGATTGGAAGACAAAATTTTCCAGGTGTGGTAATTCCTTTTCCAACACTTGAACACTTCTGCTGTTTCAAAAAATGGGTAGACATGGCACTTTGGGACATGGTGTAGTGGACATGGGGGTGTTGGGTTGATGGTTGGACTGATGATCTTAGAGATCCCTTCCAACCTTAACAATTCCTAGTTTTTGCTTTCATTAAAAAATAATCCAGCCACCAAGCCAGGAAACATGAAATTATTACTCTACCCTTAATTGGTTTAGTGGTAGACTTGGCAGTGTTAGGTTAATG